GAGAGAGAGAGAGAGAGCTAGGGAGCTAGCCCCCCCCCCATATGCATATAGGATGGTGCACCACTAATTTGCATTCCTCATCCAACTTATGTGGTGCCAGGAAATTACTGCAGCCATTTAGAGATATTCAAAATGTAATTTGAAAGTGACGATGAGAATTTAGTATTAAATTCAGGAGTTCATTACTGTGTAATGTGCCTGAGTAAACACACACTTTAAATATGGTGGTGTGATCTCTCTCTCATCCTTCATGTAGGCACATTGCTCTAGCCACTTGAGTCAACACTGATAACTGAATGTATAACTCAGCCTATTTATTAACTTGTACAACCTGTGTAGGGGCCCGACACCTGAGTGGACAGCGCTTCGGGTTCCTGGTTCGTTCCCTGGTAGAGGCGGAAACAAATGGGCGGAGTTTCTTTCACCCTGATGCCCCCTGTTACCTAGCAGTAAATAGGTTCCTGGAAGTTAGACAGCTGCTACGGGCTGCTTCCTGGGGGTGTGTAACAAAAAGCAGGCCTGGTCGAGGACCGGGCCGTGGGGACGCTAAGGCCCGAAATCGTCTTAAGATAACCCTTGTACTTTTAATTAACAAGTCTCTGCAAGTTTAGCTTGATATTTTCTAGTGCCTTGAAACAGCACTTGCTTATACTGGTACCTTGAAAATAAATATGTTATTGGGTCTCAAAATATATTGTCATCACTAAAAACTCTAGGGGAATCTCGCTAAATATTATACACTTGACTCTACGAAAATTAAATGGGGTGGGGGGAATCTCAATTAATGTTAATACCTTAAAGTATTCAACTTAGGTCTATCCTAAGCAGCCAATATCTGTCCCATAACCCACACCATTCCTTTGCCGGCGAGGCTCACTCAGTGTGTATGTTGCAGTCTTTTTTTTTTTTTTTTTTTTTTTTTTTTAACTTGGGTTGTCAATTGATGTCCCTTGTAAATTGCAAGGAAGAGCTGTTATCCTACCTCATCTCAGTTGAAACCCACTCCTAGAGACCCATTTATTTCAACAGCCTATTTTATGCATCAGTACCCAAAACTCAGTGCTTAACTTTACCCATGAACTAGGCATCGATGGTGCCTCCCCTTTTCTCAATGTCTACGTGAGAACCAAAGACAAAACTTTCACCACATAAGTTTATATTAAACCCAGCATTGGTTGTTGTTCTCTATTATACAATTTTTCTAAATATCTTCTGATATGGTACATCAATAGACTTCTCTATCCGTGTACCCATTGTTTATTAATACTTGAAGGTTTCTGTCCAGTTCATTGTGGATTTTATGTCAGTCGGAACAATGAGTAAGGGCTTGCATATAAATATCACATTAGTCTTATATCTGTCTGGGCATTCGGCGTGTATGAATGGTTACTCCGTTTTCTTTCCATTTTACTAGTCATGGAAGATAACTGGTTACAGGAAGTACAGTACATAACATGCTAAATCTTGGTAATATTCCCTATTAATAGTAAGCACTTATTATGTATGTCAAAGCTCATACTGGTAATCTATGCATACTGCACCAATATTTTACATATCCCTCGATACATTCGTGATCATTTCGTAGTGATCATGGATTATGGTATTGGATAATAGTGAAAGGAGCAAAGGTTGCATTTCATGTACAGTACAGTGTTTGCTTGCAGGTATCTCAGTTCATGACCTTGTGTGAGGATGGTGTGTGGGGGGTGCGAAAAGCATGTGCTGAGGTCTTCATGGGCGTATCCTGTGCATGTTCATTATCTACTAGGAAAAATAAGCTGTCGCCTGTCTTTGTCTCTCTGTTGACGGACCAGAGCAGGTAAGCTAGTCCTCTATTTTATTCAGCTGTTGCTGTTCTTGTATCTGGTAGATGTAAATTTTATGCAATTCTAAAAGCAATTCTTTGGTGTCATGAATATATGAACCTTGTGTTGGTATGTTTTTAAGAACCCATCCTTCTGATAAGATGGCACTTTTTGTAATTGTGGATAGTCATACAAATATCAATGTAATGAAGAAACATAGTGGAATTTGGCATTATTCATTTAGGTCTGTGATGGTTAAGGTAGGTTAGTTTAATTCTAGTTTGTCCACATTCAGTAATACAAGTCATTATGTTGGTCCTTCACATCCATATTTGTATGACCAAACACATTGCTACTATAAGTACTTTTATTTTAGGATGATGGGCTGGTTTTTAAAGAATGTATATTGTGTTGCAGATGGGTGAGAGTAGCAGCATTCCAGAATTTAGGTCCTTTCATCAGCACATTTGCTGATGCTAATGTCACAGGTCTCCACTACAATGAGGATGGTGTCCTTGTCATTGGTACACCACAAGATCCCACCAGCTACAGTCAGGAGTGAGTACTGTACTCTGCATCTATGTTACAAATCCTATTTTTCTCCCATATTACACAGCCATGTGTTAATACTGTCCATCCTCACCCTTACTCAATAGGGCCTACCTCCCACAGACAATTAATTCTAGCGGGGGCCGGCCGGCCGAGCGGACAGCACGCTGGACACGTGATCCTGTGGTCCCAGGTTCGATCCCGGGCGCTGGTGAGAAACGATGGGCAGAGTTTTTCACCCTATGCCCCTGTTACCTAGCAGTAAATAGGTACCTGGGAGTAAGTCAGCTGTCACAGGCTGCTTCTTGGGGGTGGAGGCCTGGTCGAGGACCGGGCCGCGGGGACACTAAAGCCCCGAAATCAACTCAAGATAACCTCAAGTTAGCATATTGGCATTATTTTGGTGATCATTTTCCTAGACATACATTGTTGACACATTAAAAACAATAATAAATTTTTTTAACTAAAAGCCATCTTGCATAAAGTTCACATACTCAGGCCTGCAAACATCACCCTCCTTGAGTTCTTCTTGGGCTAAATACTATTGATGAAATCCTTAGAAAGAAAACTATTGACCTACAGAGGATTGGTGACATCGATGCTCACAATGTATTTTATTTTCTCACATCATGCCTATTCCTTCCCAAACTATCCCACTTCTGTACTAAACATAAAATAGAGGCTTCTTTGACTTTGTTGCAACCATCAATGGTTTTCCCAAAACACCACCTACTATTTCTATTGTTACACTTATTTACAAAAATCATTAATATCATCTTTGGAACAGTATTGAAGGGGATACATTCATACCTTTCATTTTCTCGTGTTCTTTGATTAGATTTTTTTAATATTATTTTTATTTCAACCTTTCGTGAGATTTTAGAATTGTCTGCATTATTCTAATACATCGTGATGTGTAAATGAAACTTGTCTACATTCCAACATCTTCATGTCATCACTGGTACATATCATGCATTTCCTCTATATTATCACTACAATACTACATACCACCACCACTATGTTGTACTCCACTTTCCTTGCAAAGCATGTTCTCATTTCACTTCCTCATACTCATTATATGGTTTGTATACAAAGTTATGTTGGTAATACCGTAAGTTTTTGGCATCAGGTATTCTGGGTTAGGAGATTGGGTATGTCATCCTCAGTTGCCTCTAATGCAATTAAACCATAGCAAATTTAGTAGTGAACTCCTGAAAATCTACATATAAAAGTACAAATAACCTTCAAATTTTAAATTCATATTACCAAGAAGTTACCTTCTTTTTTTTATTTAGTGCTTTTAAGATAGCATCCATGGATAGATAGAATAGACATAGAACTGACATAGACATACCTGGAGAATACCTAGAGGGAGTGCTAAGAGTTCTACTCCCCAAGCCTGGTCTTGGGCCAGGCTTGACTTGTGAGAGCTTGGTCCAAGAGGCTGTTGTTTGGGGTGGTCCACAGAGCCACATAACCACTATAGCCCAGGTGGTCCAGCACTTCTTGCAGAACACTGTCACTTTTTTTCTTTGAGTCCACTTTTGTTCTGGCAATATATCTTGTACTCCTGGAAGGATATTGAACAACCATGGACCTCTGATGTTCATACTGTGTTCTCTGTGCCTATGTTACCACTACTCTTCACTGACTCAAGTCTGCATTTCCTTCTCTGTTGCTCACTCCAGTTTGTTGATATTTTACTGTGCAAATTTGGAATCTGTCCCTCCAGTAATTTCCATATATATATGTGTTATTCGATACCCCTCTTGTCTCCTTTCTAGAGTGTACACAATTGGCAGATGTCATTTGGCAAATGACAGAATAAGCATATACTGTGTGTTGATATGTATGCCCATCATATCCATGTACTCTATATTTGATTTAATTGAGTGTTTATTTTGTAAAATTCTTCATTTCCAGGTTGAATGCAGATACAGTGGTAATACCAGATAGAAGAGACAATTACAATGAAGATGAACAGCTCCAGCATCACCAAGATAGGCCCAAAACTGACAACACTGTATACACCAAAGAACAGAAAAAATATCAAAATGAAAAGGCTGGTGTATGCGATGAAGGTGGAGGGAAAGATAAAGGCGATAAACTGGAGGTAGAACCCATGGAAGTGGAGGAGTCTTTTAGTGTGAAAAGTAATCTAGTACGTCTAGCTAATGCAAGTAGCGAGCAGAGTGCCGAGGAGAGAAGAGCGGAAGCTTACCTCTCTTCCGGTATTCAGTTTGAACTGCAGAGAGAGACTGGAGTGAGAACCTCACAACTGTCAGCAGAGACATCTCAACAATCCAGTGATGCACATGTTATTTCTTATGAAGAAGATAAAAGTATAGATGCTCCAGTACCTGCCATACCTCCAAACACATTACCTAGCCATATGGATGGGGTTCAGTCTCAGAGCAATTCACTCACTGTTTCTGGCTCTGAAGGCCATCTTCATGTTCACTTGGACAACAATCCAGCCTTTAACACTTTCAACTACTGGCGTACACCCATCATGCCAGTTGAACTACCAATTCCCAAAATTGAAGTTGACATTGACATAATAGGAAAAACCACAAATGTGTGTGTTAAAGCAAAAGTTCAGGAGAATAATGGTACATATCAGTCTCAGATAAATTTAACTATGGCTACAGATTCTGCAAGCCCAAATATCACACTTGCTTCTGGAACACAAGACTCTCGGAGAACTGATAAGGAGAATGTCGGCACAATCGAGGTGAGATTATTATTACTGTTTGTTTTTTATTGGATAAAATAGAAAGAGTTGAATAGTAAAAAATGATTGGGTAACAAGTTTTAGTTTGCCAATTTGAAGCCAAAGTCTTTCACATTGTGTATTTCAAATTAAAACCATTATTGGTATTTTTACCATGTGCTTGCATAAAAAATATGTACGGAAATAACAACAATTTGCAAGAAAATTCCTTTTCTTAAGTTACACTGCAACCCTTGAAAATCTGAACCTTTGTACAGGTATAATGGATCTCTCTTAACAGATAAAATCTATCCAAAGAATTTCCCCCTTTTAAAATTTGCTTTTACAAAGCAATGCAGAGGGCATCGGAGTATAATCCTGAACGTCAGTTCATCAAAAAAATCAATTTCTTTAAATCTGTTTTTTGAATATCATTTATATTTTATAAATGTATTACTAAGATACATTTTGTAGCTTGTAAGCTTGTACTATATTATAAATTTACTAATCAGTTTGTGATTATTGTTTAGATACATTGATGCAGCAATAGTTGTACTGGCACATCTAACAAGGATAATGGGAACATTTTTATCATGATTAATAAGGTCAAGGCATTAGAAACAATGGGCAGAGTTTTTCACCCTATGCCCCTGTTACCTAGCAGTAAAATCGATACCTGGGTGTTAGTCAGCTGTCACGGGCTGCTTCCTGGGGGTGGAGGCCTGGTCGAGGACTGGGCCGCAGGGACACTAAAGCCCCGAAATCATCTCAAGATAACCTCAAGAAGAACATGATTGTGGAGAGGTACTAATACTGTTTCTAACATATAAAAAGCAAATCACTAAAATAGAGAGCAGTGGTGGAATTAGAAATGACAAAATCATTGAAATCCTCCTACCATATGGATTTGAATAATGGTATTTTTCAATGATTTATGCAGAAATGTAGCCTGGGGTTGGCTGCTTGTTCGGGGCTACTGCAGAAGTTTTAAAATAAGTCAAGATATTAGTGCTCTAACTGCATTTTACTATCTCTGGGTTAAGACAAGCCTGTGCTATAAAACAGTAATAAGCAAATTAATATTTTTTTGTGCATTATTATTTACATAAAAAGTTATTTAGATATTATTTGTTTGAATATAATAAAACAATCATTAGGAATTTAAGTTTTCCAGATATGCAGAGTTACGAATTAATCAGGTAACGTTGTGGTGTACAGTACAAAGTATGCCAGTATTTTGCAGATAAAGACTTGTATTGATGTAGTTTAAATTAAATTATTGCCTTTAAATTATCATTGTTACTCCATGATTGATGTATGTTCTTGTTCATTTTGCTGATCAAAAATGAGCATTGAATTTTTTGAAACATTAAGTGTGGGTATAAATTTTTCCTAAATAACTTCATTAATTTTTCAGTTTGAACATCAGTGTGCTTGTGGTCTATCGGAGTATGTAGTATTTGAGATACTACATACACATTTTAAAGCTAGTTCGATATTAATAGAACAATAAATGGAACTTTAACAAATATTTTAATTTTGGACGCTCTTTGCCACAAAAGTATTTATAATCTTTCCAGTGTTCTGACCTCAATTGTCAGGCTATGTCGTCATTATGGTATCAAATTGTGTGCAATCTAAAGGTGCTCATTTTGAAACCAGTCCCAGATAAAATTTAGAAATTTTTAAATCGAATAAAATTTAATTTTTAACATATTTTAATGATCGACACTTACCTTCAGACATAAATGCCACTGATTACTTATGCAGTACATGTATTCTTATGTTGCAGGCAGAGTTAGATGCTTTGGCAGCTTCTTTAGAGGGAGTAGCTACATTTGAAAGCAGTACATTTGATAATTCTACAGAAGAGAGACAGTCAAATAGAGAGAGAGAGGTAAGAATTTCCAACCAACCATAACCCAAAGAGCAGTTATTATTGATACATATTTTATTTAGTGTTTTAATATTTTAGTAGTAATAGTAGTACTATTACTACTTAATTATTTTAGTATTAAGTATTTTAATACTACTATCAATAAAAATTTGTTTTTTTGGTTAGGGGGACCCATTAATTTGCCCTACTTTGAATTTATTATTATTTTGTCATATGTTGAAAGACCTTTAACATTGACTAAAGAAAAATTTAACTTTTTATTTTTGTAAACAGAGTAAAGATGTTGTGAAAGTAACTAGTCCACAGCCACAGCAAGCAACATATGCTCAAGTTTGTGCTGCTTCAGTCACCTCTGTACAACACAAGAATGAACCGCAGCCATCTATATTGGCTTCACGTCTCACTCAAGCCCAAGTCAGTATGTCTGGAGGCACTGTGACGGAGATTAAGAAACGCGAGATGGATGTTGTGTCGCCAAGTGACTGTAGCATGAACATGCCTAGTATGAGACCAAGCTTACCTTCACAGCCGTCATTACCATCTCAACCACCACTTCTATCACAGAGAATTATGGATCCATTTACTGTGATGCTTCCTGGGAGCAGTGACCACATGTCATCTATGTCTGGACATTCTTCTGGCTCCTCAGAATTCATTAATTTTAATCAGGATATTGTTCCCAAGGTAAGAAAATGAGTGTGATATGTATTTACAAATTTAGTTGTGGTTTATTATTAAATTTACTAATAATTTAGTAATTTATCTTTTATCCAGATACAGCACCTTTCAGTAAAGCTGATCTGAACAAACACACATACATAAATAAATAAAAAATAAAAATTGTAGGGTACTTCCCCCCCCCCCCCCAAGTTAAAACACTACGATAGTCTTAAATTTGTATTTCCTTGAGAATACTGTAGTAGATTTAATTAAATTTTTTGCACTTAATTCCTCAGGGTGGTATTCTGGGAAAGTTTAGCTTCTCATGGAGAGCCTGAATGCAGTTATGAGATTTGACAACTTTTTGAATAGACCCAGAAATGTAATATTTTAACTTTATCCAAACAAACACGTACAAAATGAATGGGCAATAACAGTGACCAGTGTTTGAAATAAACTAAGTTATTGCACAAGTTATTCGACTTGAATGTTTAATTTGCACAAACAACTATTGCACCCATTGCAGTGCTGCCTTAATGACTGGGCAGTTACCATATTGTTCATAAGATCTCTTGTCAGTGGATAATTACTCAACCTCACGTTGGAAATGCCTGGGATTCAAGTCCGCTTTCAAATGATATTTATAAATAATTTTATAATTAATTTGTGACAACTACGTGGTGGTAATCTTGCACTTCAGTGGATGGGTGTGGCCCATCATCCAGATAATGGGCCTCCAGTGTATGGGGATGCCCAGGGCCTACAATGTTCTTAAGATGGCCCTGGCTGATTACTAGTGTAAGGAAAATTGTTGAGCTGTGCTTTAACCCTCTTTCCTGGGTTGAACCGTCCCTGGTGGCTCCCTATCAAGGCGATTGCCTTGATAATGGTCCAGGACGTACTGAAACATCATTGTCTTTTCATCATCTAGTGTGTGGTTTGGTCAATATTATCAAACTGATTTTGGTGGCTATTTTGACTTCTGTGGTGTGATATTTTGTCTGAGATAGTACTGCACTCGGATTAAATTATAATTTCTTTTTATACACAGAGAATTAAATTCTCCTAAATGGTTAAACTATATTAATTTTTCTTTAAAGATCACTATTACTTGTAGTGAAAATTTTCTGCAGCAAGTATGTGATGTCCTGGGGTGATATTTAGTTTTTTTTTTTTTTTTTTTTTTTTTTTTTTTTTTTTTTTTTTTATTATTATTATTATTATTCTACTGTATCAGGGTTTTGGCAGCCCAGTGTTTAGTCAGTGTTCCTAGTCCCAATTATTTGTGCATTACTTCGGGGCAAGTCTTCCAGCCTGGGTTGTTGTCTTTGTCCTAGTGCCTGCCTGCCTCTCCCCCTTCCTTGTGAGTCACATTTTTATTCTCTGGTTAACTTGTGCATAGTCTTTATCAGTCAGGATCTATAATGAAACTATTATTACAAAGTAATTACAATTAATGTTGTCATTATTAAGTGATGGTGTTGGCACAAGCTGCAAGATGGTGCTGTAAGCTGCTGCAGCATGTGCTTCCCTCGGTTTTCCTCTCATAATGAAGCCCTCACACCCAAGAGGGGTGCCCATAATGTTTTTCCAGGATGGTGTCTGTTTAGAGGCCTGAGGAAGAAAATGTGTGCCCCGTGTACACATGGGACTTTTAAATCTGTACTTTTTAGTAAGTACAAAGTACGTGTGTACTTAATATGTTCAAATTACTGTGTGCTTTGTCATCCCCAATTGACTCGCACAGTAGGGTCACATATGGTGCAATTGTTCCTGTGTAACAACTTAAATTATTGAGTGCAAATTTGAAGGAGAGGAGATATTACAAGTGTTCAACTTATTATATAAGAATGACATTGTGTTGGCGGTGATATGGTATAGAAAATATTCGACTAGGTTGAAATTTATTTTGTACTTAACACTTTCGCGCTATCTGAACGCGCCGGCGCGTCCGGTTTCGTCTAACGTAAACGCATAGTGGACATAAAGTTATGTCAACTTTTAAAATATTTGTATAAAATTCAATTTTTATCCGATTTACTTTGGGTTTGTTTTAAACTGCGCGCTATGAGGCTCTCTTTCTCACCACTAGGCTGCATGGTACAATAAGTTCATGAAAGGTGTGGATAACTTCGATCAAATGGTATTTTGTTCCAAACGGGTTGCAGGTGGGTGACTTTTGCCGTTTATACTGGTAATGCTTCCCCCATATCATGTATTATATGCATATGTCTGTTTAGGGAATTTTATTCCGATCAATATACAACCAAAAATAACTGTGTGCAACAAGTATAAACATGACAAACATAACAAAAGTAAAAACATTTCGTGTGTGTTTGACGCTCACTGATATGTTCCAGCGTTGTTTTATATTTGGCGCTATTCTAACTTACGCTTTGTTGATATTTTTTACCTATGGGCACATAGAACATTCTATTGCGAACACATTGACACAAAAATGAATGACGTACATAGAAAATTAATGTCATGAGAGTGAAATAAGTATAAACTTTCAAAGCGCCGTGCGTCGTCCCGTCACCGATACCGGGTAACAATTTCACCACTTCCCACACTCTTGCGGGCGGGCCGCAATCATTATTCTACGCTTATATTCATATCACCGTGTTGGGAATTTCATTGCGAGTCCATTGATACCAAAATTAACGCTGTAGTACAAGTGTGGAGGTGATTACAATCCCAAGAGTAAAAACATTTTGTTGCTGATGGGCGCTCACGGCGAGTCATCTTCGTAGTTATTTATTTGGTGCTGGTATCCCTATACGTTTCGTGACTTTTTTACTGATGTTCTTCTAGAGAATTTTATTGCGAACACGTTGGTACCAAAATGAAATACGTAGCATGAGAACTAAGGTCAGAAGAGTAAAAAGAGTATACACATTTTTGTTTTTACGCTTAAGCGATAAAAACGCAGCGCGCACATTCGGTTGGCTGAGTGACCTTTGCGGAGAGCGCGAAAGTGTTAATAAATTTGCTAAAAAAAATGTGCTTATACCCCAGCAATGTTTTTATTGTAATGTTATCACTTGATTACCATCGTCCTAAAGAACAATTTTGTAACCAAATATTCCTTTGCAGACTTTGCTGGAGCATTACATCAGTATGACAGATCCCATGAGAGCTGAAACTGTTGATAATGAACTAACAAGACATTGTGCATATTCATTACCAGCTGTTGCATTGACTCTTGGTAGACAAAATTGGCCTGTTTTAAAGGATACCTATGAAACTTTAGCAGGAGATGTACATGTAAGTATGATCTATATGGGACTATTTGTGGTTTATATATTTTCTATACATTTCATTACCCTTTTTCCAGCTTTTCTGTGGTGGAGAAGCTTTAGCTTTGATGAAGATCAGAGAGCAGTATTGGAAAAGATGGGTCATATTAAAAAAAAAAAACCATTCACCATAATTGGGTGTGTATGAGTGCTTCTTGTTTGCAAGTCATTTAGCATGTCTGTATCTTTAATCCCTCAAACCTTGCTCTCCTTTTACAAGATGTGCAACAAGGTGCACGTCTTGAGTAGACTTCACTTGATTCTTTAGTTTGAGTTCGTGTCCTGTTGCTCTGGAAGTTGCATTTTTAAATTATTTGTTGTCAGTTCCTGTTACTATTTTATATGAAGTGATCATATCACCTCTTTTTCTTCTATCTTCTAGCTTGGGTGTTTTTAACAACTCGTAGTTCTTGTTTTTTCAGTTCCTGAAAATTCCACTTATCAAATTTCATTTCTCAAGTATTACTCCATGCACATAAATTATTTTGTCCAGGCGTCTTGTATGGCGTAACATGCCATACAAGATAAGTTTCTTATCTTCCCTAGTAGGTTGGTATCATCGGCAAACATGTTCATATAATTCTGTATTCTGGTAGACCAATTATATACACAATAGATTTTACTGGTGTTAGAATTTAACCCTGTGGTGCTACACTAGTAACATTTCTCGAGTCTAATACATAGCCTCTGATTACAACCTTATTTTTCTTTCAGAAAACTTTTCACACATGTCAGAAATCTCCCTGCTACCCCTCCAGCATGTTCCACTTTCCAGTGTGTGTGTGTGTGTGTGTGTGTGTGTGTGTGTGTGTGTGTGTGTGATTACCTAAGTGTAGTTACAGGATGAGAACTACGCTCGTTGTGTCCCGTCTTCCCAGCACTCTGTCATATAATAGTGTGTGTAATTATGCAAGTGTAGTTACAGGATGAAAGCTATGCTCATGTTTTTCCTTCTTCCCAGCAGTCATATAATGCTTTGAGACTACTGATGGTTTAGGCCTTCACTATTTTCTCTTTCAACTTGTTCCAACTGTCTACCACTCTGTTTGCAAAAAAAAACAATTTTATAATATTTTATTGGCACCTTTGTTTCCTTAGCTTGAATCTATGACCCCTTTTTCCTGAGGTTGCCTGTTGCAGGACTCATTGTTGAATTGTTGCCGCCGAAGGCGGCTAGTTTATTGTGCACCCCATACTCATCCTGTGAGCGGTAGCGCAAAAGCATTACAGAGGGCACAAAAGGTCTTTATCAGACCTCATCTTAGATTATTACATAAACAATTTCTTCAATCCTTCACACCTTATAGATACAATGTCAGCTAGTTACAGAGAAAGTGCTATTACAAGAGCTACATATTTACAGTAAGTCATCATACATTAATGGTAGGTCTTGTCGTTAATACATAATAGTTTGGCCAATGGGGATATTACAGAGTCATAGGGGAGCTTCTGTTTATTATTAGTCCTCACAATACACTACTTGTTTCTGAATCTCATATGTCGTTCATCTACTGGAAGCAAAATGTGGGTACAGTGCAAGGATTTCAGGTAATTTATCCATGGTAATAAGATAGGTTGCCATATCATACAGAGTGAGCCTAGATTTATCTCTAAAAGGCTCAATTTTACAACAATCCAAGATATAGTGTTCGAGTGTGTGTCCCTGCCTATGTGACTCAGTTTGGTCAATTCCCATTATTATTTAGAAGTGGTGATCATATCGCCTGTTTTTCTTTTATCTTTTCCCATTTTCTTTTTATCTAGCTTTAGTATATTTAACACCCCCCTAGCCTTTCTTTATAACTCTTGTTTTTCAGTTTTGGAAGCCATTTTATATCATGCCTTTTGCACCTTTTTCCAGTTTCTTTGTGCTTCTTAAGGTTTGGGCACCATACAACTGCTGCATATTCATATGCTGCATAATTTGGTCTCATAAATGTCATGAATAGTTTCTTTAGTATTTAATTATCCATGTAATTAAAAGCAATTCTGAAGCTTGAAAGCACAGGATGTGCTCCTCACACAATGTCCTTTATGTGTTCCTCTGGTGATATTGTACTATCCAGAACCACTCCGAGATCTCTTACTTTGTTGGGGTATTTTAGTTCCTTTCCGAATAATTTGTAGATTGTGTGAGTGTCTATTTTCTCCTATTCCACATTCATAACATGGCATTTATTTACATTGCATTCCATTTGCCTCATGGTGCTCCAAACCCTTATTTTATCTAAATCAATTTGAAGGGCATGACAATCTTCTACATATCCTATCTTCCCTAGTAGCTTAGCATCATTGTGTGTGTGTAAATAATAGTATAAAATGATTACGTAGTTCAGTACATAAATGAGGACAGTGGCACACATCAGGCAGAGTTCTGTTCTTACATCAATTAATGTTGATCCTGAAATTTCCCTTTTTTACCATATTTTAAGGTAATTTTTTTTTTTCAGTGGAAAGTGCGAAGAACGTTAGCCTTTAGTATACACGAGCTTGCAGTGATCCTGGGAGAAGAAATTGCCCAGAGTGACCTTGTTCCAGTGTTCAATGGATTTATTAAGGATCTGGATGAAGTTCGTATTGGTGTGCTCAAACACCTTGCTCACTTTCTTCGTCTTCTTCGACCACAAAATAGGAGAGACTACTTGCCACGCATGGATGAATTCCTTCGTACTGACAACGAAAACAACTGGCGCTTTAGATTGGAATTGGCAACACAGCTGGCTGGTATAATCGACCTTTTTTCACCCCAAGATTGCCAAACCTTCATTGCACCAATAGCATTAGCCCTGATGGCTGACAAAGTGGTGCATATTAGACACACCTGCTATACTGTAGTAAGTTTCCACTTCCATATCATGTATATTCATCATATTATACTTGTGCACTGGCATGTTTCCTGTCAAATTCAAAGCTTTGAACGGATATGTTACAACTTACACATATTTTTTTAATTTTCAGTAAAATGTATAATGGAGCATGTTTTTTCTGGGCAAAGCACTGTGGCTCACTGAAGCTACTGTCACTGATAGTGTGCCAACTATTAGGTGGCATCAGCTGTGGGGTCTGTAGGCCTTCCAGAGACTAGATCATGCCCCCCCCCCCTCTCACAGCAGGGAGCAGTAGCATTGATTTATTTATTTATGCAACCACTGGGAAAACAACCACAAAGTCAGCAAGACAAAATAGACCACTGTTGGCTTAGAGACCGCAGCATCAAAATGCCCCCGAAAGAACTTCCCCAGCTATGTAAACAAATGATAGAAACCTCTCCAAACTAAAGTAAGCTTATTTGCCCCACCTCCCTCACTTGCTTGGGGGGGAGGAGGGAGTTCCACTCTCAGTTCTATGCTGATGTGTGTAGTGCCGGGTCACCTCTGCTGCTCGGGCTCCAGTATGTTGCTGTTAAAGCTAATTGGTAGTTTTTGCCTTTATGGACATTCTTGTACACTGTGTAGTGTGAATCTAGACATCATGAGTGCTTGGAGCTGCATGTGCTCAGGGTTGTCTTCCCTGAGTGGTCTCCAGTGCTTCCTTTGTGCTTCAGGGTTCTGAAGACACCCTGGGTGTTCGGGAGTCACTTCCTTAGGGATCCTCCTTGCTTATGGTGGCCCTTGTTCAGGGCGAGCCAGGTGTCTATGGATTTTCCTGTCTTTACTCGTATCGGTAGTGATATTGGTTGGGTTGGAGTGCTCTGGATATTCACATGCTACACTATGACACACCGAGGTAGGCCTCTCAGCTATACAAGCAGCTGCTGTGTTGGCTTACTATGTTGTCTCAATATCCATAATCGGTACAGATTTGTGCGACTCCTTCAATTAAAGGTCTAGCATTGTGTCTCGGTACCTGCTTCCTTCTTTCCCTTGACATTCTCTCCGGGTTTGGTGTTACCTTCAATATCTCCTCCAAACCTGCTCTCTCTTTGTGAGAGTTTGAGGGTTGCACATCATCCATGCCACACAGTAGTGATCATTCCTTGTGCCTCTGTCATGCGGCCTGTTGGGTTTGCCGTTGTTCCATATATATGCACATGTGCATGTGTGTGTGTGTATAACTTCAGTGTAGTTACAGGATGAGAGCTATGCTCTTGGTGTCCAGTCTTACCAGTACTAGTTGTCATATAACGCTTTGATACTACTGACGGTTTTGGCCTCCACCACCTTCTCCCTTAGCTTGTTCCAACTGTCTACTACTGAGCAGGTCATATGAGTTGAATGGAAACAACATTGTTATGTTCATAGTAATGAAAAATTAGGAAATGTGTACAGTGATCTACAAGGAAAACTTTAATGTAAACTGGATAATTAATAGAAAATAGTGATTGGACTAGCCATGCTAATAATACCACCTCATTAAAAATATTATCTTGTGTGAGTGGAACTTAGGTTCTGGTTCCTCTGTAGGCCAAACAAAACACCAGTGCTATTCCAACTTAATAAGTTGGGAGCCATCTCAGTAATATAGCTTCAGGGAGCCACCAGGGCTCATTCAGAGTGAGGCATTTCATCACATTCAATGTTGGTTTTTTGTATAACAACATGTTTTATTAACCTGTCTTTTACTACAAATTTGTACATGACATTTGTTGTCCTGATAGTTAATGTAAACTATAATCAAAATTCCTGTATCGAGTAAAAAAAACTTATGATCTTGAATTTTTCTTTAGATGTGCCAGCTTGTGAGGCAGCTAGGATCAGAGGGGGAGTCCAAGTATATAGATGCCCTCAGCAAGCAGCTAAAAGAGAAGTTTGCTTATGCTACAACATGGTCACACCGCCAATCGTATGCATTTTTATGTGGCCAACTTGTTGCCGAGCGATCACTGCCACTTCAAGACTGGTGCCGCCTTTTTCTTCCTGGACTGGTCACATTAGCTAGTGACAGAGTGCCCAATGTTCGCATTGCTGTAGCCAAGATGTTAAATACTCATGTTGCATGTCTAGGTGAGCAGTTTGGTGTGACAGTTCCAATTAATAATAAGATTTTTGTGAGTGAATATTCGTTAAATGTGCCATAGTTCTGATAAATATATATACAGTGATTTCAAATAAGTTTTCATTTAGTGATTATTAATAAATGTTATTTTTATATATAACAGATTACTGCCAGAATCCTGAAAATGAAGTTTCCCAGAAAGTTAAAGAAACCTTAGAGCTGCTCCGACATGACAAAGACAGAGATGTGGGTCACTTTGCTTGCTGCCCCGTTAACACAGACTTCATGTTGGATCCACATGACCCAACATTATAATAGTGGTTATATTAGCCATCTATATTCTTCCAATAACCTTTGCTTTTCTAAACTTCACAGGTTTTGAGAGGTCCTGATTTTTCTGAGTTTATTGCAGCAGTCTCAGTTGCATGTGTTCTCAGAATAAAGTGGGTGATGCCAGGACAGTGTTTTATTCATTTCAAATAGAAAATGAGCCTTATAAGCAAATTAACATTTATAGGTAGTTTCAAAGAAACTGATGATTTCACATTGAAAATCACTGATCTTTGAATCTATACTCACTATTTCATTGTTTGTTAGGGATATTTATAACGCATCTTAGCTGCCCATCTATTGGTGCATAACTTCCCATCATACTGATCTTATTGAGGTGCATGATGGGCTGTGAATTATAGTGTTATAATTCTTTCAACATCGGCATCTTTCACACTTGTTTCAATATGTTTGGTTATCAGTTATCACCAAATTGGCAGGATTAATAATTTAACTAAGATGACATGATACATGTACTTTATATTTGAAAATCTCAAACTGTGCAGCCCTTTTGCTATGCTTATACTTCCTAAGAGTATATTGAACTGCTGTGGGTTGTATTGTTTTTAGGCAGGTTTCCTTGTCCTATTTATAACTCGGTTTTCACCCTAAAAGTAGAGTACCCACATTTTAATCCATCCAAGACTTCTCATTATTGGGTATTAAACCCAAGTAATTTGAAGTTTAAATTTCTTACCAGCATCTTAGGTGAAATTTTGTTTTGTAATTGGATATTGAATGTGAAACTTAAGAGTGGGATGTATGTATTATAGTCAAAGTAGAGAAGTACAAATATGTGGATGTCACTGGTAATTGGAATGCTAAATACTTGTATGGTTGGGCTATGTAAATTGCATTCCTGGTCCATGTGAAGAATTTGTCCTTCATGCCCTGACTGCATAATGATCCTCTCTTGTAATCATTGTCTTGATATTGGTCGCTATTTCAAGTGTTGACCAGTCCCTGTGATAAAAAAAACACTAGAATATGTTCTAGTTTTAAGAAATTAGGATGTACCAAATTCATTAGTCGTGGTGTTTGCAATTTTATTAAAGATTTTATTGCTATTGCAAGTTACTGTTGTCTTAAGCTATGATTATCAATTCAAATAATTTGTAAGAGCTCATGATATTTAAAAAAAAAATTTTTTTTTTTATTTAACTCAGGTCTATGCAGGCTTAATAGTTAGCAATTTATAAAGGTAAATTTTTAACTGTTTTAAGAGTTTGAGCTGCACATGATATTTTAAGGTTTTTAACACAATGCCTTAGTTTTGAGTTTGGTCATAACATTTACATTTGCTATATTGTTTTGTGTAGAAAACACTACAGTTCATGTGAAGTATTCCAGAAATGATCAAATACCAGCTTTGCTTACTGTCCATATATTGAAGAGTTTGAGAGAGGCAGTCTCGTTATAATGAATGCTGGACTGCATGCTCACGTGTACCTCAGAGACCTGATCAGGCTTTAACATTGGCTTACACATTTACAATCTTTTTTTGCCATATTAAGCATTTCTTTGGCAGTTATACAATGCATTTTTATAAATGAGGGTTGCCTAAGTTTAGTGAAGACATGAAGGTTATTTACCAAGGAAATTGCGTTATGCTAATTTATCTTTTCATCTAAAAAAGGTTCGTTATCTACAATTTGCAAATCTTTAAGAATCTTCACAAATACTTAATACTGTCAGCAATATCCTTCCCTTGCATTCTTATATTTGCATTTTGTAATACTGTCCTATTCATTATCTGTAATCAACATATAAGAATACCCACTTACAAAGAAAGTCAAACCAATACATGTGTGAAACCTAGCCAGTGATGTCCTTGGAGTGAGCATTTGTGATAGTTTCATCTTTTAATGCTACTCTGAGCTCCCTTGTGGCACTCCACTATCACTATTTTAATCTTTTTTTTTTTTTTTTTTTTTTTTTGACCTTGGTATATTTCTTGGCCTAGTTTTGATCATGTAAAAAAAGCCATATATTTTTGTGTATTATCATCGTTGATACAAATTAATTGTGCCATTATCATTGTGCGATTCCACTGACAAATTCGACGGGGGTTCAATATTGGGAATATACCTTCACTTAATCTTTTTAACCTCATTGTAAATTGTCATATTGTACAGGTATGAAATAAAATTATAATGAAATATTTTAGTTTTTTGTTTGTTCAGATATTTACAAGATTATAAGTATATGTGTATCTTTAAGATGTATTATTTTGGTTTTATATGACAATGTTATAGAGGAACACCATGTTGAGTGAATTTTATTTGAAGATTACATTTCTCTATCTTTCTCCCAAGCAATGTTAGACCTCATTCCTAAATATTTTGATTATAGCCAGAGATCATAGTGATACTATAATATGTTGGTCAGATCTCACCTGGAATATGCTGTGTAGTTTTTAGATTCCTATTGCAAAAATTAAGAAAGCATTCAACATTGTGCTGCTACCCTATTATGTATGAAGAATTGCAGAGTATAGGATTGCAATTGCAATACAAGTTCAATCCCATCTCGCAGGTTGGTTAATCATGTGTGGAATCGAAGAAAAACTTTGTAATGTCTGATCTAATAGCCTGCACTTGTAAACTTTGGTTAAAATATAAGAATATCTTCAAATATTCATGAGTGAATGAAGTTACAAAGCTTGAAATATCTCATTCCATATGGTTTGAGTATATTGATAACTGGGTATTCACTAATAGTGTTGAAGAGTGGGTCCCCATTACTTGAACCCACCTTGCATTGAGTACCTTGGAGTACCTTGCATTGATTTTGGGGCTCAATGTCTCCACGGCCCAGTCCTTGACCAGGCCTTTGCCAGTCCCTGACCTAGCTATCATTCATAGTTTACAATTGGAATGCTTACTGTTGGGAGATTAAATGCCTGCAGCCACCTAATGATATCCCAGTCTAATTCTGGCAATTACAATGTCACTTTTATGGATGTTTTATACTCTCCATGCATATATTTCTCGGTTCTAAATATATAAATTTATACTGGTGCTTTCTTTCCTTTGAGTATCTTCTGTCAGCCCCAGTTTCTTGTACAAAGGAGAGTCTGATTCTTGTTTTGTGCATACATTACATCTAAATATATATAAAAAGCAGACTGTTTAAAACCAAAAATTATTGGAACTTCGATCGACTGCGTTTTGCACCAATTTCAGGTTTTATGCCAGTTTCTTCTGACTTCCAGCCTAATGTTTGTTTTATCCTCGTTGTTGCAGTTTTTGGCTTCCTTTACTGCTGCTGCTATTTTTTTCTTTGTTCATGTTATTACTTGAGTAGAGTTACAGGATGAGAGCTACGTTCGTGATGTTCTGTCTTCCCAGTACTCTGTTGTATAATGCATTGAAACTAGGTACTGACAGTTTTGGCTCCAACCACCGAGGAACTCAATATGAAATTTCAGGAAGTTTTCACATTAGAGCAAGGAGAAGTTCCAGAGATAAGAGAAGGAATAATTAACCAGGCACCACTAGAGGAATTTGAGATAACCAGTGGAGATGTAAGGAAGCTTTTGCTAGAGTTGTATGTGACAAAGGCTATAGGCCCGGATGAAATATTGCCATGGATACTAAAGGAAGGAGTGGAAACACTGTGCCTGCCACTCTCCATGTATAACAAATCACTGGTAACAGGTGAACTGCCAGAAATTTGGAAGGCGGCAAACGTAGTCCCGATATACAAGAAGGGAGATACAGGAGGCACTGAGCTACAGGCCAGTGTCCCTAACTTGCATACCATGCAAGCTAATGGAGAAAATTGTGCAAAAAAAGCTAGTCGAACATCTGGAGCGAAGGAACTTTGTGTCACATCACCAACATGGTTTCAGGGATGGCAAATCATGCCTCACAGGATTAATTGAATTCTACAATCAGGCAACAAGAAAGGGGTGGGCAGACTGCATATTTTTGGATTGCCAGAAAGCCTTTGACACAGTGCCACACCAGAGACTAGTGCAAAAGCTGGAGATGCAGGCAGAAGTGAAAGGGAAGGTACACCTTTGGATAAGGGAGTACCTAAGTAACAGAAGGCAGCGAGTCACTGTGCGGGGTGAGGTCTCAGATTGGCGAGACGTCACCAGTGGGGCCCCACAGGGTTCAAGTCCTTGGACCCATATTGTTTCTTATATATGTAAATGATCTTCCAGATGGTATAGAATCATTCCTCTCATTGTTTGCTGATGATGCAAAAATTATGAAGAGGATTAAGACAGAGGAAGACAGTATGAGACTACAAGATGACCTAGACAGACTGCATGAATGGTTCAACACATGGCTACTAAAGTTCAACCCGAGTAAATGTAAGGTAATGAAGTTAGGCAGTGGAAACAGGAGGCCAGACACAGGATATAGAATGGGAGATGAAGTCCTTCATGAAACGGACAGAGAAGTATCTAGTTGATATCACCAAACCTGTCTCCTGAAGCCCACATCAAAAGATCATCATCTGCGGCATATGCGAGGCTGGCTAACATCAGAACTACCTTCAGGAACCTGTGTAAGGAATCATTCAGAACCTTGTATACCATATATGTATATACCCTTATATCCGACTCATTTAGGGTAAATATCAGATCAAGCAAGGCTGGTTCATCCCCTCCTCTCATTCTTGTCGGTCCCTTGATGTGTTGACTTAGAAAGTTTCTTGTTGCCACATCCAGCAGCTTAGCTCTCCATGTGTCTGGGCCTCCATGTGGGTCTCTGTTCCCCCAATCTATCTTCCCATGATTAGAAGTCTGGATCCGTTCCTGCTAGCCACAGAAGCTGCTCTCTTTATTATATTGATGGTGGCCAAGTTGTTTCTATCATATTCCTGTCTGGGTCTTCTGTCATTTGGTGGGGGGTTATATATGACTACTATTATAATTTTCTGTCCTCCAGTTGCTATGGTGCCTGAAATGTAGTCACTGAAACCTTCACAGTTCTGAATTACCATCTCTTCGAAACTCCAACCTTCTCTTAGTAGCAGAGCTACACCACCTCCTCCTCTCCCTTCTCTCTCTTTCCTCACTACATAGTAGCCCTGTGGAAACACTGCGTTTGTTATGATTTTCGTTAACTTTGTTTCTGTGAGTGCTATTATGTCTGGGTTTTCTTTTAGTGCCCATTCTCCAAGTTCACTTGTTTTATTTGAAATCCCATCTATGTTAGTGTACATCGCCTTGAAGCTCACTTTCTTCTGTTCATTTTCATGTCCCTTTCTTGGCGAGCATTCTGCTGGTGTGGGAAGCTGTTCCGTGGGTGAGAGGATCTGTGAGGTGGTTTGCAGGGTCTCAGAGGATTTTGGGGTGGGGGATGGGGGTTTAAGGGAAGGGGGGACAGGTAGGGTGTGGGTTAAGGAGGTAGGGGGGGGACATAGAGGATACGCAGTGAGGGGGGAGGAGGGATAGGGAGGGTATGGGATGAAGGGGGAGGGGGACATGATGGGAATGGGGAAGGGGTGTCAGGGTCAGAATGGGGTGGGGTGGGAGGAAGGGTTGGGTGGGGGGCAGGTAGGGTGAGGGGAAGGGAGGGTTTCTATGCAGAGGGGGGTGGTGGTGTTGCCCCCCCCCCCCCCTCTGGTGTTGCTGGGATGCTGGTTTTGGGTTCTCCTCTTGTCTCTGGGACTGTTGTGATGAGGGCTGTGATTTCCTGGTTTGCTCCTCTCTCCCTGTGCTTCCTCCTTGCCTCTGCTGCCCTGGCTCTCTCCTCCTTCGTCCTGTCCCTCTGCAGGAATACTTTTTTGTATCCCTCCATATGCTACAGACGACTCTTCCTTTCGAGAATGTCCTCCTTCGTGGTTTCGTTTGTAAACACCATCTTTACAAGTCGGTTTCTGTCCTTGTTGTACCAGCCCAACCTGAAAACCTTCTCTGTTATGTACAGCCCCTTCCATCTGTAACCCCTTCAGTAGCCTATGTACTGCCTCTCAATCCTTGCCATTCCATTCTTGCCTGTTGGATCCTTCCTGTTCTTTGATGCCTACAACTACCACTGATCTTTTCCTCTCCAGCAGTTGAGTGGTGCACCTTGCTGCTTCCTGTGACGTATCTGCTTGCATCGCTACCTCCCTCACTGTGTCCATTGCTTCTGAGCTCTTTTTCAGTATATCCGCAAATGTATCGGGTACAGAGGCATTTCCTTCCAATGTAACATTCCCACCTTCCCTTTGGATGATAATCTGATGCTCAGTCTCTTTATTTTTCTCTGTGAGAGATTTGATCTCCTCCCTTGCTGATGCCAGCTCACTTTGCAGATTGTTAATTGTAATCCTCATTTCATTCATCTCCCTCCTGAATTCCTCCAGAACTTGGGTTAGCAATTCCTTTGTTTGATCTCCCTGGCTGCTTTCCTTGTCCCTGTTGCGGCCTCCTGCCATTTTGTCCCTTGTCAAGAGAGAGAGAGAGAGAGAGAAAGCAAGAGAGAGAGAGAGCGCAAGAGAGAGCAAACAAGAGAGAGCAAGAGAGAGAGAGAGAGAGAACGTGTGTGCTCTTGGGATGGGGTTACTAGGATGTGAGGTGTTCAGCTTACAGCAGGTAAGAAGGGGGGTGGATTATGAGAGGTTTTATCTCCTTTCCACGAAAGGTGTTAATCCCTTCTAGCCTGCGTGTGTGTGTGCGTGCATACGTACGTGGGCTTGAGTGCGTGCATGCTTGTGTGCGTGCGTGTGTCACTAGTTCACGGAAGCGGTAACTTCTACCCAGAATGAGCCACACCGAGATTTTAAATATATATACTATCCTGAACAAGAATTTGATAATATTTTACCTCACACTGTACACCTGATTACTTGACCAGAGAGGGGGGTACATACCAGTATGATTCCCACTCACACAACTAGATGAGTAATGATGATGTATGGTTAACGATGGTGCTCCGTCGTCGCCTTTCCACTTGGTGATTCTCTAAGTGCTAGTAGATTGACGATGTCGATTCTTTTCTACACAAATCTCCGGAGTCACAGTCACCACCCAACAAACACAGTCACAGTTCCACGGCGGGCCGTCCCACCTAGCCGTCAGGTCAGGTCAGGTCAGGTCACTACTCGGTCCTCCACACTGTATGCACCGGTGATTCCACTAGCTACAATTTGTTTTTTTCGCACTATCGCTAGCGATATGACTATGCTATGTAGCACCCTGCAAGCTACACACTGCGA